TGTGGGGGGCAGAGATGGGGCACGGTGAGCAGCTAGCCCCAGCCTTGGGGGGAGGGGAGGCAGGGGGGGGGGGCCCGGGGAAGGGGCCAGAAGGGGTGGGGCTGTGGGTGGAATAGGGGCGGGGCCCCGGGGAAGGGGCGGGGCTGTGGGCGTGGCCACCAGCGGAAGGGACGGAACAGGGGCAGGGATGGCAGGTGGAAGAGGCGGGGAGGGCCCCCCCGCCCACTTGCTCTGGCCCAGGGCCCCAGGAAACCTTAATCCACCTCTGCGAGGAGAGCTGGAGGGTGGGGAGAGGGGAATGGGGCAGTCATGTGCCTCAGGGTGGGGGGGCACCATGATGGGAACGGGGGCAGGGGTGCTGTGGGAAGGGCTAGTTGTGGGGTTCGGGGTGACAGGACAGGGTGTGAATGGGGCAGGCACACAGCGGGGGGTCAGGAAGCTGTTGGGGGCCAGGGTGGGGTTGGGGTGCCTGGGGGCAGAGTGGGGGGGATCACAGTCCAGGGTCTCTCCCCCAGAGGCAGCCCCCCCTTGCACAACTGCACCCCATGGGGGAGTTGCACCCCCCCGAACCTTCCACCACCCCTTTACCCACCTCCTCACAGAGGGGGATTCACTGGGATCCCCCCAAACCCAGACAGCAGGGATCCCCCAAACTGGCCCTGACTCCGCCCACCCGTGCCAGACAGCTCCGGTCACTGCCCCCCCAACAACAAGCCCCGCCCCCGGAACCTCAGAGACTGTTTCCAAGCAACAGGAGTTGATTAAAGAAATACTCGGAGGGGGGCAGGGGGTGGGATTGGGAGCCCCAGGAAGTGAGACCAATGAGGCCAGGAGAGTGACACAGAGAGAGTGGGGAGAGAACCCAGGAGTCCTGGCTCCCAGCCCCCCCTGCTCTAACCACTAGACCCTGTGCCCCACTGGGGTTGGCTTGAGGCTCTTTGCTTCCCTCTGCTGGAGAGAGGGGGAACAGCCACCCAGATCACCACCCCCCACCCCCCCGCGCCCCAGGCGTTACCTGGTACAGCTCCAGGGGGTAGTTACAGGCCTGCAAGAGAGAGGGGGAGAGGGTCAGTGACTGAACGCCGCGTCCCCCAGCCCAGGAGGCCCCACAGCTGCTGGGGACAGGGAGGGAGGGAGGCCGGACCGGGAATCTGTCCCCGGGCACCAGGGTTCATGCCCCGACTCCACAGTCCTCTGGGCTTTGGGGGGTTATGTCACAGCTGAAAGATGGGGTCCCTGTGATACAGCACCCCCTGCCGAGCTCCCCACCCCGCTCCCTGCAGCCCAGCGCCCCCTAGTGCTGTGCTGGGGCAATGGGGCCAGTCCCCCCCCCCCCGGCCCCCTGCAGCACGTGGGAGTTTCTCAGTCTGCCGTCCAATAACTGAACTGGCCCGACCCTGCTTAGCCAGCGGGGCAGGAACAGGAGAGCTTTGGGGGAGGGGTTACCTCAAATTTCTGCAGCAGCCCACAATTTTCGGCATCAGCCACGGGGACATTGTAATACTCCCCCTCCTCCTGGTTGAGTAACTTGTACCTGAGACAGGGACAGAGACAGGCACAACACCGGGGGGGGGGGGGGGGGGGGAGCGGGGAGGGGGGGGAAAGAAAGAAAGAAAGAAAGAAAGAAAGAAAGTGCAAAGAAAGACAAAGGAGGGTGCAAAGAAAAAAGGGAAAGTGTACAAAGGAGCGCAAAGAGTGAAAGTGTGCAAAGAAAGGAGTGAGAAGAAAAAATGAAAGTATGCAAAGAAAGTGAAAGAGCACAAAAAGAAAAAGTGAAGGGGTGCAATGAAAGTGAGAAGAAAGAAAAAGTCAAAGTGAAAAGAAAGAAAGTGAAAGTATGCAAAGAAAGTGAAAGAGCGCAAAGAAAGAAAAAGTGAAGGAATGCAAAGAAAAACAAGTGCAAACATGTGCAAAGAAAGAAACACAGAGTGCACGTGTGCAAAGGAGAAGTGTGACAGTGCAAAGAAAATGAAAGCCGCGAGTGCAGAGGGGATGCAGGTGGAAAGGCCAGCGGTGCAAGAACCGCACGGGGAGGGAGCACAGGGACGCAGCAGCGCCGAGGCAGCCGGGCACAGTCGCCGGGCGCAGACAAATACCCAAACAGACAGAACGGTGGAGAGAGAGAGCGAGAGTGAGCCGTGGGCCTGGCTTCCCCCCTCCCCTGCACACCCCCCCCGGGCGCAGCCCCCCCCACTTACCATCCGTCTGCGTGTCCCTTGAGCAGCTCCGACACGCCGAAGGACATGGCTCCCATGAAGTCATTGCGTGAGGTGCGGTCCCAGTCCCACACCTCGACGGACAGCCGCCGCTCCACGTCTCCCGGCCTCAGCGTGCTGGGGGCGGGGGGAGAGACAAGGGGAGGGGGATTAAACCACCGACTCAGCCGCCTGCCCCTTTAAGTGGGAGGTGGGGGTGAATGTTTGCCCTCTGGACAAGAAGTGTGGATAAAAGCCCTACTACTGCTGCTGCCTGGGCAGGGGGGGAATCTTCAGGAGTGGACCGGACTGCATTGGAGGGGCTACAGAATCCTGGTTTATTTTGGGGGGAGGAGGGATCGTGGCTGACCGGGGGAGGGCTACTGTCCCCCCAACCCCAGAAGAGGAGGGGGGGCACTCTGGGTACATGGGGAGAGTACTTGGGGGGGGTTAGGATACAGACACCCGTGGGAGCTCCGGCAGGCTCATGTTTCGTGGCTGTGTCCAGACACCCGTGGGAGCTGTAGGACCCCCATATCTCCAGTCCAGGCACGTCCCAGGCACATCCCCACGCCCACCTGTGCCCGGGGCACTCACAATAGGAAGGTCTCGTTCCACACAGGGTTCAGAGTGGATTTCACAGTCCGGGTTTTCTGCTTGCTCACGTTCTTGGGGTCCGGGATGAGCTTCAGCTTCACGTAGGGGTCCGACAGCCCATTGGGGTCCATGGGGATGAGGTTCCGGGCCTCACCCACTAGGAGGGAGGGTCCACAGATCAGCACGTGGCACTGAGAGCTCAGTCTGACCCCCTTCTAGGAGCGGGGGCTGGGAGCCCGGACTCCTGGGTTCCATCCCCAGCCCAGCAAGGGGAGTGGGGTCTAGTGGTTAGAGCAGGGGGGCTGGGAGCCAGGACTCCTGGGTTCTCTGCCTGGCTCTGGATGGGAGTGGGGTCTAGTGGTTAGAGCGGGGGGGGCTGGGAGCCAGGACTCCTGGGTTCTCTCCCCACTGCTGACTGTGTTATGTTGATCCCAGACGGCAGTGTACATGCTGTGGTATTCTGTGCCCTCCCGCCCACACCCTGGCCCGGGGGGAGCAAGACCGTGGTGGTGGTGGCGGAGGACGGCGTGCAGGGAGCTGCCAAGGAATCCCCGTTATGTAAGCATGGCTGGATGGGTTTCTTTCCACCTCCTACATGCTCCCGCTGGGAGCGCGAGAGTGCGAGGGAGGGTGTGAAGGGGAGAGGAGGAGAGTGCTGAGCTGCAGAGCCGGGAATAGAACCCAGGAGTCCTGGCTCCCAGCCCCCTGCTCTAACCACTAGGCCCCACTCCCCTCCCACACCAGGGAGAGAATCCAGGAGTCCTGGCTCCCAGCCCCTCCCGATCCAACCCACCAGACTTAAGCTGAGAGCACCTGGCAGCACAGCGCCCCCTGGGGCTGGCAGTGACCGCCAGGAGAGAGCCCCCTACTGAGCAAATCCCCACCCCTGCCCCGCTCCCGGCCACCCATTGCAAAGCGAAATCCAAGTCACCACTAGGTGGCAACGTTAGCCACTAAAAGAGGGATAGATGGGGATGGGGGGTGTGGGGAAGGATGGATGGATAGAGAGGAGGGGGGTGGATGAACGGATGGATGGGCAGAGAGATGGGAGGATGGATGGATAGATAGATAGAGACAGATGTGGTGGGGGAACGGAGAGACAAACAGACAGATGCAGGGGGAGGGG